TGGGAGAAACTGCATGCAATTCTCTGCAGTGTGATTTGAGCCCACTCATTTTGTATGGGCTTACATCACACTGCAAATGTATGGGTACTTGGTATCAGTGAGTACTTAACCGAAAGTATTGGTACTCGTACTTGCCAGTCAAAAAACAGTATCTGTGCAACCCTAGTAATCACTGTGACAACCAATCACATGCTCAGGATGTCTGCTCTGCCTCCTGGAACTAAGACCCAGTTAGAGAGCTGCCAGAAGGGGTGAGGAGGGGTTAAATTCTAACCCAGTGTTGGCCTTTTGTACCCTGGCATTAGCTGTTTTTTTTTTCTACAATTGTCCTGTGTTTTTCTCCATCTATCTTATGTTCCATTCTGATTTTTTCCAGATCCTACTGATGAAAAAGCATCCTTACAATTTGAAGCTGCCACCATTCTGTTTCATGATGGGGATGTTATTTTCAGGGTGATGGGCAGTGTTGGCTTTTCACTACACTTGGGTGTGCCTGCTATATGGACCAGGGCCCACAGATTGACTTTATGTTTTTAGGAAACAAAAGCACACTTTTAAGCCTTAGGTTTCAGTTAACCAGATATTTGTGTATCTCAAAAGTTGGCATTCTGACAATGATTTCAAGACTTTTATAGCTCAGTCCAGCATCAGATAATAGTGTTTCTAAACTTTAAAATATGTAAAATTGTACAAACAAATAGCTACTGGAATGTTTTCAGAATGAAAAGGAAGATCAAAATATTTCCTGTAATTATACATGGCCAAGGGTGTGTTAACCCCTCAACCGTGAAATGATGACGCTTAAGAAAGGTCCCCAGAGGTGTCACAACAGGAAACAGATTCTTCCATTGATAGAGCTGTGTCCTTCTCTGTAATGACACCATACAATAATGAAAACCGAGTCTTTATCGTCCACTACAAGTTTAGCTACAGTTAACATTTTTTATTTAATTCAGATAGAGTAGGGGAGGCATGAAAGCTGCAGTTGTTTGCCATCTATGTCTCATTAGGGTGATTTCCCCTTACTTCCTATCTTCTGCCCAGAACAGTAATAGAGGAGAAATCTTAGAATGGGAACACTAGTTCTTATGACAGCCAGGGATTCCCTCTCTTTGGAGGAATTTCCTTGTCCATCCTGTCTTGGCTATGGAACAGGAAGTGAAGCAAAATCTCCTAAGGGGACACAGATGGGAAAAAACTGGACAGGAATTATAGTCCTTACTGTATTCAGAATGGGGAAAAAATGTTGGTGGCTACCATGGCTACATCTTAACTTTCAATGTGAAAATTGAGCTTGGCCTTATTGTTGGTACTTGCTGTAATTAGTGGGAGAGAGGTAGTAGAGTCAAGCTCAACCTTTACAGGAAAAGTCAAGACTTGCATATAACTTTTGAACTTTAAAGTGGAGTTCCACTCACTCTGTAAAAAAATTAAAAGTCGGCAGCTACAAAAACTGTAGCTGCTAACTTTTAAAAAAACAGCTACTCACCTATCCCACGATCCCACGGTGTCCTCCCCACAGCCCGTTTCACCAACCTTCCTGTATTCCAGTCGCTGGTATCTTCAGTGTAGACACCTGGCTGTGGCTGCTTGCGGCTTCACAGCCGGGTGCCCACTGCGCGAGTAGTGCTGCACTTCCTGAATGGCCCCATCGTTTCTGGGACCTGTCACGTGTCCCACAAGACTACGGGGGAGGCAAGGTAGGAGGACAACTTCCATTTCCGATCGCCTAGGCAATCGCAGGGGAAGTGGGAGAGAGTACCTGTCAAATTCGGGTACCCATTCCCCCCCCACCACTCCCCAAAGGTGCCAATCCTTATTGGGGAATGGAGACCAATCTTTAAAGCGGAACTTCCCCTTTTGGGTGGAAATCCGCTTTCAGTCTCTGGATCATCATAGTCTCACTCTGCACAATTCAAGTTTGTAATAGGCTTGCTTTACTTTTGCCATTTTTGGTTGGTTAGGGGGTATTTCTACAAGACCAAGGACTGCTTTAACAGTCTGTAGGAGCCTGATTTAAAAAAAAAAACACACAACTGTAGAAGGAGCCAGGTATGCCCCAAAACAGTTTGAGGCATGTCACATTAACTTTTTATACCCATATAAGTGAGCGCATACAGTTCTAATTTTGGTATGCTCTAAAGAATAAAATAATGTTTAAAACTCAACTGAACCTTCTCTATCAGTGCTATAGATAATTTTGTTTTCTGGTGAAGGTTCAGCCCTTGGCACCTATAAGAAAATGTGGGTATGACAAAATTTCATTAACAGTGGGATGGATTTAAAACTCAAGCCTACACGGTGTACATGGTAATATATGGCACAGCCCATGTACCAAAAATATTTTTGATTTGCCGAAAGCAAGAGTCTTAACAGGGGTAGGGAATGTGAAATACACAGAAAGCAGGGGTCAGGTGTGTGTGTTGCACAGGTCAGTAGACAGCATACAGCAACAAAAAGATTCCTCCCTTCCAAAGGCTAAAACTCACCCAGCACAGATCCTGCCCCCCTCCGACTATATACCCCCCCCCAATCCCCAGTACAGAGCATCTCCCTTTTTAGTACACTTTCTATTAAAGCTGGTACTAGCACAGCTCCCTCCAGTAATAATTCCTTCCACCAGTACAGCTCTCTCTAGGACAGATCTCCCCCACCATCAGTGCACCTCCTGCCTCCATAAAAATCACACACCAGACCAGGAAGTTTATAGTGAGGTCAGTGAGAAGTCCTCCCTTGGCTTCTGGTGTGCACCCAGTGTCAGTGCTGGCTGTAGGGCAGCAGACACTCTGGGGGAGGGGTTTGATTCCCCTACACCCCCACTATGTACTTTATTTTATTTATTAATCATTACAGGTACTTATATAGCGCTGTCAATTTACGCAGTGCTTTACATATATATATTACATTCACATCAGTCCCTAACCCTCAAGGGGCGTACAATCTAAGGTCCCTAGCTTATATTCATACATAAACATACTAGGGCCAATTTAGACAGGATCCAATTAACCTATCAGAATGTCTTTGGAGTGTGGGAGGAAACTGGAGTACCCAGAGGAAACCCACACAGAACATGTAAACTCAGGCAGGTGGTGCCGTGGTTGGGATTCGAACCAACGACCCTAGTGCTGCCAGGAGGAAGTGATAACTGTTTAGCTACTGCGCTTAATGTAATGCAGTCAAGCTGCAGATACAAAAATAAATCTGTTGTTTCTTTCTTTTTTTCTTTACAAAGTGCTGAATAAAGGGTTAAAATACGCTGTGATGGCAGCACATGGTGAAGTTTAAGGTCTGCTCTCATACAAACCTGCAACTCAGCTCTAAAGGCATCTGACATGCCCCACACAAACATTGCAAGGAAGTCTGCAATGTGCTACCAGCTCAGAGTATTTTGGCCCTTTTTGCAGTACTTAGATGTTTAAAAAAAGAAAAGAACAGATGATGTATTACTCTATATGCAGCCAGACTGCAGTTAAGCTGGCCATACACTAGTAGATTTTTCCAAAGAACGTTTGTATGAAAATTCTCAATACATTTGATGACTTGATGAATATTGTTCAAAAGTACTTAAAATTTTCATTTGCTTTTAAAATTCCCCTTTAGAACAACCAGAAAGAACATACACTGTTAGAATTCTGTTCATAGTAATTTATACACAGTGTTTATGTATATTTACATTATAATGAAGCATATGGCCCATCATGACATGCCTTTTAAAGTGGAATTTTACTCTATGAACATTAAAGTGGAAATATACCCAAAAGGCGAAGTTCCACTTTTCCTCCTCTGCCATATTTGGAATGCCTTTTTTGGGGGGAAGTGGATACCCGCTCCCACTTTTTTGACAGGTACCCACTCCCACTTCCATTCCGACTGTCTAGGTGATCAGAGAGACATACCCCCTCCCAAAAGTAACTTGGGACATGTCACAGGTCTCGGGAGACTGTGGGACCATTCACAGGGCGCAGCTCAAGGAGTTGAAGCTGCAAAGAATTTAAGCTACATGGAGTTACAGCCAGTTGCCCACAGTTAAGATGATGGCGCTGGGGACCCAAAGACTGGCCAAGAGCCGGGTTGGGTGAGGACAGTGCTGGATCCCTGGACAGGTAAGTGTGTTTTTAAAAGTTAACAGCTACAGTATTTGTAGCTGCTGACTTTTACATTTTGTTTACAAGCTGAAGATTCTCTCTAAATAAAAAAACAAAAAATGTGTACCGTGATAAATAGTACCAATTCAACATCTTCTTGGTGTCCAGCAATCAGAACATGTTGGCCATTTACGAGTGACACCATGCAGCCCATGCAACTTGGGTATCACTCCCCCTCTCCCTTGTGCTATTTCTTTGACAGCATCAGAGCACAGAGGCTTGGCAATTACAAGGTGTAGATAGGATGAGGGGGGGGGGGGGGGGGGGGGGGGGGGGGGGGGGGCAGAATGAGTTGCATGGTGTCACTTGTAAATGGCCAGCAGTTTTCAGTGCTGATTGCTGGACAACCAGATTACAGAAAGACGTCACTCATGGTGCTACACATTGTTTATAATTATTTACTGAAAGTTGAAGCCTACTCAGTTAGTTTACTTTTGCTTTCTACTGTGCAATGTATGAATGTAAGTCTAAGTGTGGTAACTAGTTGGATAAAGTTCAAGGCTCCATGCACCTAAGCGTTTCTATGAGCTCAAAAAACTCCAGAAAAAAACGCTGGATGGAAAAACGCTAATAGCATTTTTTTCCAGCTTGTAGTAGAGTTTTAGTAGCCTTTAGGAGCTTTAGCATTTTATTAGATCCTAAACACTGAAGCTTGAAAAATGCTACTAGCTTAAAATAGTGTGCATGGACACATAGGATAACACTATTCAGCTTCTAGGAACAGAAAACAAATGCTGATAACAGCTTTTAGGAGTTTAAAAAATAATTGTGTGCATGGAGCCTAAAGCAATAGTTAATGCAAATGACTGTAAAAAAAGAATGTATACCAACTACAAAAATACAAAATGTACATACCTTGTTTGAGGCCATCTCACTAACTGAGTGTCTGGTCTGCAGAGTCTCCAGCTGGTCCAGACACCAGTCCAACTCTTCCAGAGTTTCGATGGCCAGTTTCTGAACGGCATCCTCTACGGAAGAAAGAGAAGGAGGCATTTAGACTGGATGATGGTGATACTTTGTTTCGTTGCAAAACCATGTCCAGTTTTTCACAATTCTTGTTACTGATACCAGGGATAAAGGGAGTTATGCTTTAGGTATCCCAAAAGAAACTGCAAAATCCTACAAAATGTTCATATAGCCAGTGTCTGTTTCCATGAAAATTGTCTTGCAGTGTGGAACTTTAGAGCCTCTTGCACGTGTCAACAGTCTTTGATATACAATAATTTGCACTGATCAATCCACTTTCTCTTGAACTGAATGAGTGAGTAAGAGAGAACTGAAAAGTACTAATTTAAGTATTTAATTCCTCACAGAGTCCAACTATTTGAAAAGTTCATATCTGCTTTGCTTTTCCACCTTTAGATGTCAATTTGGTCAACACATGTAAAATAATCACTTGCCAATCATACCTGTTGTGGTACTTATTTTGCAACAATGTACACATGAAAGAATCTCCAACATGCAGTGATAAGTAAGAAGGTGAAATAAGCAGAATGGCCCATGCAGATTTGTAGAGCCAAGTTCTGATTGCTGCCTCTAATGCAGCATTACCTCTAAGCCACTGAAATGTAGGTAAACACTTTTTTTTCTCACAGCTACAGAAATGCAGTAAAAAAAAGAATAGAGAACTAATAAAAATACAAAATGTGATCCTTTAGCAGTAAGATCCTGAATTTAGGCAGAAATGTAAAAATGCATTAGGTGTACACATTTGATAGATGACACAGCCATTATAGGGTTTCCATAGCGACTAAAGTGAACCAAGGTTATCTTCAGCAAGAGGAGGACCTTTTCCTATTGCCTCTTTTATCCATGAGATCAGCATGTATTAAAAGTTTAAAAAAAAAAAGAAAAATGTCTAAATCTTCTGACATAAAAGGAGTGTGCTACAGGTTGATATGCTACGTATATGTATTTATACTTGAAATGTGTGGAGACAATGTTAAATGCTAGTTAATGAAGGCCGCTACGCATTTAATTCCAGGTTGCGTCTGTGCTATGCTGTGAGCTATCCGGTCATGATTTTGGTGGTAGCAGTCTCCCCAGGCATAGATAATAAGAATAAGGGAGAAGACAGAGGATGAAACCAGGCCCAAATTACCATGACAACCGACCTGCAAACTCACTGCAGTCCACTTTAACTCTTGCACAGCCATCAAGGCCTGTAAAGCAATTTCTAATTCTTCTTTACATCTTTAACTGTTTTAAAACAAACAAAAATGTTTGCAACTTGGAGATTGCCTCCTTGTGGCTTTAAAATAAGAACAGCACTTTATATCTGGAAACTGGCAGGGTCTCATTTATGGTTCCGGGGTAGATCTCAGTGCTTAACACAAAAATCTCAAGGTTGTAGATGAAAGTAAAGTTGGCCATATATATGGGTCAGTTTTTTTGTTCAACCATCAAGTTGAGTGAAAGAAACTGCCCCAATTTCCCCCATCCACCTATTTGAGGTAGATAGGGAAAACCTACCCACTGTGTAATTTGTATTCTGACAGTGGGGAGTGTCAAGGTCCTACCTTTTCCCAGAGGTTATGTTACTCCATGTGCTGGCATCCATCTTGGATTTCTGCTGAGCATGGTGGGAAGCTTTTATGCCTTCAGGTCTCTGAGGTCCATCCCCCAGAGGGGTGTGGCTGAGTACATATAAGCCTGTGATCCGCACATGCTCTTTGCACTTGTGTCTTGTGTCTTTGTCTTGCTACAGCTCTGTGTATACGCTCGTGACTCTTCTGGTATTCTGACTCGGCTTGTGACTAAGACCATTCTCTGTGTTTTCCTTCGATCTGACCTTCCGTTGCTGAACCCGGCCCGTGACCTGTGATTCTCTGTCTACTGTTCTGTACTGTTTTGTCCTGTTGTTGTCGACTCGGCTTGCCTGACTACGCTATTGTCATTCTCACCAGCTACACGCCATTGGCGGCAGCCATTACCGCAGCCGGGGTGTCTCGGGGGGGGCCGCGACCTGGTTCCTGGCTGCGTCAAGTCCGTCCCCACCATCAGGGGCCCTGGTGAAGGGCAGCCTGGGACTTAGACTCCGTGCCCTGAGGGTCTTCGGTCTGTTGGTGGTGGGTTGTCGTCAGCCAGTGCGTTACCCTGCCACTAGGCCTACCTGTCCATTCCACAGCCCTGCCTGACAGGGAGGCTCCCACACTATCAGAATACCCTAATCAGTGCTGCAGCCTATTGCCTGCAGCGCTGATCGATTTCAGGGCGGTTAAACAGCAGTCAATTGGTAGATCGACCTCTGTGCAGCCACAGTGGCCACACATGGATCGAAATTTCAATCCATGTATGGCCTGCTCAAGACTACAATTAAATGTTGTTTAAAATAATATCAGAGACACTGAAGTACTTCCTGTGGCACGCAATGCAAACAAAATTCTAAAAACATTCTCTAAGGATTTTATTGATATGTGCAGGTTATAAGCGCAAGGATTATGAATTATGACTAGCATGGTATTTAAATTCTAGTTCTAATGGATCCTGGAGACATAAGAGATTAATTACATACTGTGTCTGGTGACTATTTTTAAGAAGAGACTGTCAAAATAATGAATACTGAGTCCCAAGCCCACACTTCGGGTTTTTTTTTTTTAAACCTGGTACCCAAAGTTTTTTAAGCTGATTTTCAGGATACATTTGCTGCTACTAATTAACAAAGGGGGTGCAAGCCTTTAGGAGCAATCTGTTCTCTGTTCTATGCCATGACAAACACAGAACAATTCAGCTGGAGCTGTGTGCTTCGGAATCCTCTGCACATCCCCATCCCCTCACTCAGCTGAATGCAGGAGGAAGGAGGAGGGATTTGAGCTATCTGCTGACAGCTCACATCCTATATGCCATGTCAGACCTGGTGGGGATCTACCACAATTTTCTGTGCTAAGAATGGTGGCAAGCCCTTTGTTATTTAGGAGCAGACCCTGCATCATTTTTTATTTTACTCAGAAACTGGCATCGGTGGAGCAGAAAAAGACCTGTAACAGGTTTATCTGCTTAGTGTAGTGCAAGCCTCAAACACCAGTTTCCTTCAACATTCTAATATGCTGTACCTTTAGTTGTCCAATTTTGCCTAAAATAAGCATCTTAAGTCATTCTAGAATCTTGATGTACTTTTTGTATTTCAGATCTGTGCAGTAATTCAGCCTGAAACTTTGCCTGCCTGCAGGAGCTTCCTGTAATAAAAGCCACTCTCTTGTGCAGAGTAACTGATCTTGCCTGTGCCTAGTTTTCTACAGAAAGCCTGTAAGGAGTGAGCCTGGTGGGTCCCACTAACTGCTTGTCTTTCTGCACAGACATCTAATGATGTCACAGCTAATTTTGCAAGTTAATACCTTGGTTTGCAAGGCATTTGGTGCCTTATAGACATCTTTGTTTGAAGTGATTCTAAAGGCTTAAACTGAAAAAAAAAAAAAAAACAAAACAAACAACCACTTGCCCTCCGCCCTGTTGCAGTAACTTTGTAGTATATATTGCCGGCCAGGACTTGATGATCGTCGGCAAGGCTGAGAGGAGAGATCTGTGTGTAAACAACACAGATCTCTCTCCTTGTCAGCATGGACATGCGGCTTTGTATCTCTGCACAGAAGAGAGATACAAAGCAGTATGTCTCCCAAGTAAACCAGCACACAATGTAAAACACACACAGCACACTGTTAACCCTTTGATCACCCCAGATGTTAACCCCTTCCTGCCCAGTGTCATTAGTACAGTGTCAGTTCTTTTTATTAGCACTGATCACTGTATTAGTGTCACTGGGGATGTCAGTGGCAGTTAGTTCCCACCCAGTGTCAGAATGCCTGCTGCAGTCCTGCTTTAAGTCGCTGATTACTGCCATTACTAGTATAAAAAAAATAAAAATTCCAGTATATATGGAGAAAAATTATGTAAATTTAATTTATGTACAGAGTTGCATGACTGCACAATTGTCAGTTAAAGTAATGCAGCGCCATATCGCAAAAAAAAAAAAAAATGGCCTGGTCAGGAAGGGGGGTAAATCCTCTGGAGGGCAAGTGGTTAAAGTGGTTGTAAACCTTCACATATATGTACCCAGTTTAAGTGAGTAGCCTCAGGTGATACGCAGAGATTAAAGGATAAGTTCTCCTTTTGGGAGAAAATAATATGTACATATCTTTTGCAGGAAAAATATTATTTTTCTCTAAGGAGCCTGGAATGCTTTGCACCAGTGATCAGTAGATCGGAGGTGCAATGTCAGACTCCTGCAGACAAGCCCTGCAGCTTTCAGTCCATACCTTCATACGGGCTTCCTGTTTACAAGCGGAAGGGCTTGAGAATGAACTATGAGGCTGCTCATCAGCAACCCCACAGTCCATTCAGAGCTACAAGCATCAAGCCATCTGCTAAGAAAGGCCAATGTTACTTGTAGTTAAATTAACTCATAGGAAACTGTGGTCAGAGCCCTGCACAGCTGCATTATTTTTAACATAGTGACAGCAGGCGCTGGGAAAAGATCCTCGCTCGCTGTCACTGGGGAGGGGGGAGTTGTAGCTGCTAGAACATAGAAATACAGTTAGAACATCTAACATGTTCCAAAAGGTAAACAAATCCTCTTACATAAGTTGTACCTGTCTATCTGCACTCTTCACTTCTCTACATCCGTACAAAGTCCAGAATTTATAAAGCTTGTCTGAGAGTTCAGAAAAAAGGGGTCAGAGAACTGAAACTACACATTGCAGAGCTCAGTGAGGAGAGTTCTGAGAGCTGATTTGAGGGAAGAGTCACACCCTCCTCCATACAACTGGCAGGGACAGAGCTGAGGCGGTCAGTCTGTTGGAGGTCCATCCCCTGTCACCATTTTTCTTTTGGTGGCAGCAAAACTTGTCAAAAGTGACTCATGCTGATAGCAGAGGAACAAAACAGCAGAGAGAAATGGACAAGTACATTCTATAGAGGGATATGCTGTGTTCATATTTCATGTCTGAGGTTTACAACCT